CATGAGTATGCAAATATAATAGATTTTTTTTAGACCAGCGCTAGGGAAACCTTGTATTGGAGGTGCCGTGGCACATATATACACTCATAGACAACCATAAATTACACCCAAACTCACAAGAGAAATACGTCTCGTTTGCCTCTGCGTGGCAGTAAAGCGCAGGAACCTTAACAGAAACAAAACAATGGAAGTGCGTTATGCCTCGATTACCATCAGAACCGCTGCCGTCAAAACGCACACAAACAAATGATAAACGCTACGAAATATTGATAATGATTGGTCGTAGTTTCGAATTTAAAAAGATGTAACAAATTCTGGACTGTTAATATAATTTAAACTTTACTCATTCGGTATATAGTTCAAAAGTTCAATACCTTTATTGCAAGTTATTACATTTTGATTTTATATTGAAACTTTATACAGCATGCTGCCATCTTGCGGCCAACAGCTGAACTACGGCGAAGGACTAACAACTGAACTAAAACAAAGTAGTATCTTCGCGACAACCGATGTCTTCTTTAATTAATTGCATAATTAGTTTTATTTCGATCAATTAAGTTTAAAATTAACAAAACACTCATGAATCATGAAAAATTTTGTTCGCTACTAGTGTGAACCATAACTTAAGCTCAAGTAGGCGTAACTACGCCTACAGTTGGCATGCGAGCTACGCTAACTAACCATTTTAACTGTATTTATTGTTCTGTGAAGCTAACCGTTCAGCCACTGAGGCAGTGGATTCTAACACAATGTGGATTTTTGGTCTTTTATAGTAAATATGAGAGAATAAGAATTTGTTTTGTAATAAATTCGGCAGTTTCTGTTTAATTAGAATTATTCAGAAGCTTGGACTCTAGAGGTGCCTTCAAATTAGACGCACTGCAGCCACGTCAATACTAATTTTTATACACTATTTAGAAGCGCAACCCCGTACATTACACAAGTTTTGTTAATAGTGACTCTTCCTACCGACCCTTAGGGTATACGAGAAGGACACTAGAGCCAGTGCAAGCACGCCTGCACAGGGACCTTATTACTCAGGTCCTGTCCCCAGATCAGCACGTGTACACAGACTTCATCTGGTTGTCAAAAGGTTAGCGAGCTGAGCTGCCCCGAGTGCACGTACAGCACTCTCCCTATTGTTCAGAAAGATACCGGAGCTGTTGGCACGCTAACTTCCCGTTACGCGCTGCGCAACTAACAGTTGCCATCTCTAAACCGTTGGCTTTAAAGTCTATCGTTGACTGTGAAGTATTTAAAAGCGCAGCTGCAGCATCGTGTCACGCGCGCCACTTATGCAGTCACAATTAGTTGACTAAAAATTACATACATACAAGTGTATAATATGAAGGCGCCTTCATATATATTTTTAATTGCATCCATCTGTTCCAGCGGTTTGTATGATTAAGGCGAAATGATATCGTGTTTGTATAGGCTTTGAAGCGTTTGAAGTAAATGCGTATGTTAAGCGATAACTCTGACATTTGAGTAACTCAGGTGAAGAAGATATTCCACCTTTAAGGGTGGGAAATTTGGTGATGAATCCTATTTACTATAACAATAGCTATGTATACACGTTTACAATAGTAATGTATCTGTCGCATGTTATAACTCAACTAAATGTTAAAAGTAAACCATTTTGGACGGAACTTATAACAAATAAGGGCTTATTTTTAAAATTAACTTAAGGCAGTATTTTTTTAATTGCTGACGTAGATTCGTTTATTCCTTTCTCCCGTGTTGTACCTCATCTGATTAACTTTCGTAACTGGCATAAGGATTCCTTAATTTCTCAAACACGCATCTTAAAAAGAGTGATCATTCAGGTGACGGCAAAACTTTCTATTTATTTTAAATTTCTTATCAAGGGTATTAATTTGGATACATTATTTTAAAAATAGGTCAAAGCCAGTGTGTGAATGTGAAGGAAATGTGATAAGAAATCAGCCTGCATTTCAGTTACTTTGTGTCTTAAGATACGAGTTTGAAAAAAGTAAAGCGACGATAAGGTGTTAAATTATTTTCGGTTTAACACTTGACATTTTTGCTATAATTATTAAATACAAAGATTGAACACTAAGAAAAAATCCTTCGACCCGGGATTCCGTTCCCATTGCTCTTTACAACTAAGCTAGTAGGTCGAGTTACCAAATAGACGAAATTCTTCTGTGGCTGTCATAGATTTTTGCGTTGACGCAATAAACGACATCTGTGAGTAAACGAATCCGGTTGGAGCCCTGACGGGTCGAAAATCATTCATCCTTTCCAAGGTGAGTCGTTACTTCCCACCGGGACAGTTCCATAACATTCTACATAAGTTTTGTTCATAGTGCCCCTCCCTATCAACCTCTTGGTTATGCGGGCACTATGGCACTATGGTCAGTGCAAACGAGCTCACACAGGGACCATCTAAGTCAGGTGCTAACCCCGGATCAGCACGTTTGCACATACTTCATCCGGTTCTCTATAAGGCTAATTAATGCCTTAGGTGAACCGCCCCGGGTGCACGTACAGCAACCTCGCTATTTTCCAGATAGGTACCGGAGCTGTAGGCCACCGGGACAGTTGCTTCAGCTGTACCAAGCACAAGTCCGGTTGTGTATGGAGTACTGCTGCCACCTATGGAATGGCTCTACTACATACCAACTGGCCACTTTGGATTCAATCGACAAGCGTGTCAGTGGTGTCAGGAGACTTATGGGTGATTTGGAATTGGTTGAGGCGAAGCTGCAGAGTCTTGAGCACCGCAGTACAGTTGCCTGCTTATCGGTATCGCGAAGAGTGCGATGGAATTACACGATTTAATTCCGCCTTCCCCTTTCCATCACCGGGGGACTAGACGAAGGCTTGGGTTCCACCCCTATGTTGTGGATATTCCAAAGATTCGCACGAAGCGTTACGCTTCCATATTTATATGGCGAACGGCTATGAAGAGGTATTCTGCCTTTACAAGACGAGAGTGAATAGGCATTGCTTAGGTTTGCATGCTCCATCGTGGACCTCACTGTCACTTTCCACCGGATGAGATGGAAGTCAAATGAGCATTTATATATTTTATAAAAAAAAAAGGAATTTTCCTTTGTGTTCAATCTTTATATTTAATAAAATTATAGCAAACTAGCGGAGTTATATTACAAAAAAAAAATCAATAATACTTGACTTCTTGAGCTGTAATCTCGTGTCATTTTTAGGTCACTTTTATTTGTCTAATTTTGGTGTCAATTTATTATTCTTGCCGCGAACGCGCAAACCTATACGCACTCGGAATGATACGCGCGAGAGGATGACACACCCTAACGTGATGTCACGACAAGCGGCAGGAGCACAGCGGCACTCGCCTTATCGACAGCCACAGGCTACGGTCAACCTTATTACAATTATATCATATTTGCAAGCCAAGCTGTATAATTGAGACGGCGAATATACCAGCTCTATAGTAATACAGTCCACTTTTATTTTACGTCACATTACGGCCGTAACAATTTAGTATTCGAGTATATTGTCGTGAAATATAAAATAATATTTCAGGTTGCTACACTCGAATATTAAATAATGTGTCACGATAATATTCTAGAACATTTAAATAATAAAAATTGCCACCGAAATTAGGTAGAGAAAACAAACCTGAAAATTACATAATAAGTCTCTTTAGGGCAATTGTCCCTTAACTTTTAAGTTTGGGGTAATTGCCCCGTAATTTTAAGCTTGGGTAATTGTCTCTTACTTTTAAAATTATGTCTCCATGAATCAAAATAATATATCTACTATATTCAAAGTACTTTCCTTCTGTATTACATAGCCACGGCTATGTAATACCGTCACCGTATATACTCGTATACAAAAAAGGTTGTCAAATTATTACTACAGAATGTTCGCTTTTGAAAGCTGTAATGTCACACGTCGTATTATGTTACGACAAAAATGTTAAATACGGCAGTTAACGAGATGAGGGACGATACGTACATTGTAACATTGTAGTTGCAAATGTAACGAAATACTTTTAGGAAATTGCTTACCCAAATTGAGGTAAAATACTCCTTAGGGACAGCGCAAGCCGGCAGACGGCCAAATTTGACAACCTCGTGATTCCGTTGTTGGACGCTGATCCCTTTCTTACCCTTCAAGTGCAAAATCGGGTAATTAAAGCTTATAATTTGAAGATAAAAGGCACTATGATATTCCTTTATTTTCGTTAAAAAATAATGGTATAATCATGACAATCGTCATACAAAATTATTTATAGTAATTCTGTTTTAGTACTAACAGAAAAGTTCACGTAAATGGAGGTGCGAGGTTTACAAAATAAGCCGATATATTTTATACTATTACAATTGAAATAAGGTATAAATTTCAATGCTTTTAGACTGACCACGGAGCATTGCGGCGCATTTCTCTCTGTGACTCAGAACATTGAAATGTATACCTTATTGCAATTGTAATAGCATAAAACACACAATGATAAATTTAATGTTATCTGCCTTCCCATCCGCCGATACGCGCTGGCCCTTACATTTAGTGTAAAATCCCTATAACATAGGGGTAAATTTGCTTCCTAAATGTTCAATTGCAAGTTAAACTGCTATTTCGAACCTAACCAAATTTTGCTTACAATTCCATAAAAAAGTTTCTTTAGGGCAACTATCCCTCATCTTTTAAGTTTGGGGTAATTGTCCCTAGACTTTTAAATTTGGGGTAATTGTCCCTTAACTTCTAAGTTTGGGGGTAATGTCCCCTTGATTACATGAAAAATTTTCATAACATATGGTCCAGATCCCCTCCGAAAGGGATTTGTTTTTTACAATGATCTTAACTTAGTTCTTTTCCGCCAGTTTTATATAATTTTGTACAGTTTAAAGTGTAATTCTCATAATTATAAAATATAAAAATTTCTGATTTCGAATGGTGATTAGTGTTTGTTACGTAACTTTGTTTGTAGACACAATTTTAGAAAAAAGAAACCAGATAAATATTTCATAATGGCGGAAAAGTCCTTGGCCAAAATGTTCAAATCCCTTTTTGCGATATGCACAATTACATAACTTTAAACTTGTGTTTCTAAACTATCCGTGCCTAAAGCAGCCTGTGTAAAAGCGTCTTCCGGAGACAAAGGCGACAACTCACATGTGGTATCAGCTGATGTGGTAGCGTCTTCGTTAAGAGGTGTTATCTCATCTAGAGATAAACGAGGAGGGGGTGGGGGCGCATGAAGTCATATTTGTGAAGCGGGCATTGTTGACACCGTGCTATGAGGGGTGGTGGGGCGGGAGCCGGCGAGAGACGCGTTAAGGGAGGCCATTGTGCCCATCTGAAAAAAACATATATATATAACAGTTCTTTTTACGTATTACTGTAGAATACGACGTTAGTATTTATGACGTAACGTCGTGCTGCTATTCTACTGCCATTCCTTTTTTTTTGCCTTATTCTCAGTTGCCATCACTGGCTTTGTTCCCACTGGCAACAAGTGGTGACAAATGGGATAAAAAGATCTGTTGTTGCCACTACCGACAAATGGGATTTAAGATATCCCGGTAGTTGCCAGTGGCGAAAAAAAAACAAATGGTATAAAAAATACCAATTAATATTTGTTTATTGCCGCCTAATTCGAAGACTAAATTGTTGATTAAACGAGATAAAAACTAAAATTTCTTTCTAATAAAGATCTTAGGGGCACAGCCACTGTGCCCGTCACCCTGAAACGTAAGTTGACAAGTACCATGTGCCTGTAATGTCACCAGCGTCCTTACCCTTCAAAACCGGAATGCAGTAATGCACATATTACTGCTTGGCGGTGGATGTAGGTACCTCTACTGCTTACAATAATATCTGTGTTTTGTGTCAAATTGACAGTGTATCTTCTCAATAAATAAACTCACCCGCAAATGTGCCAAATCCTCCAGTTTGGTAAGATCAGACAGCTCGAGATATAGACTGTAGACAAGAACCCAGCCATAGGCACCCACCACACAGAACATTATCCAGAACAGACACATGAAGACGTTATAACTGTAACAAACAACATCAATATCAACTCATTACATATAATAATAATAACGCACACAGGCAACATAGCCCCGCACTAGGGAAACCCTGTGTCGCGGGTGCCGTGGACACACACATAGACAAACACAAATTACAACCAAATTCACGAGAGAAATAAATGTAGGCCCTACAAATATTTCTCCCGGTCCAGGAATCGAACCTGGGACCTCTGCGTGGCAGTCCGGCATGGTAACCGTTCGGCCACTGAGGCAGTCAATGTTAGTAATATGCGAGGTAGTCAGTGTGTATAATATTATAAAGCCAAGTTTTATTTTAAAAAAAGACGGCTTTATATATTTTTCACTTTGGCGACATTTTTTTAATGTCACGAGAGTCAGGTATTGTCAAAGCGAAACATTGTTAAGTATTTTGGGGACAGCGGGACACGAAGCTTAAAAGCGGGACGTATGCTCACATTAACCATAGAGCACGGTTTGCACATCCAAACTATAGTTAGGGGGCTTATTATTGATTTCGTTGTACTTACGCGAATATCATGTCGTTGACGATCGATGCGAAAATGAAGGCGATGAATCTGAACAGTATGAATACACCGAACGTGTACAACCATGGCACTATCTTCTTTTCGTACTCCTGTAAAGACGTAATGATAAGTCCATCGTCATCAATATAGTTTTTATATGTAGTTAACCATGCATACTATTCTCACAGACACAGAACAGAACAGCTGTTTCTTATGCCTAATGCCATGACGTTTTTGAGATATGCGCGTCCAATTTTTTTTAAATTAAGAACGCCTAAATCTTCTTTTTTGAATTTTTAGATATCGAAATAATTATCGTGATAATTATCAATGAGAGTTATCCAGTGAGAATTAACATTAACAATAATCGTCACAATTATCAACAATAATTCGATAATTAACGTTATAATTATCGGTGATAATATTGTGAAATTATCAACTATAATAATATCGTGATAATTATCAACGATAATTATCATTCCGTACCTCGGTTGTGACGTTACAATAAATACTTTCCATTACATTCTAAAAGTTTGACAGATAATTAGAAACAGAGCAAGACTGAGTCGGAATCCATCCTCTAATGTCGGAAAGAGAGGATGTCAATGTCACCGAGACATTTTAAAAACTTGTGACGCGCATGAGTGGCGTAATTTCCGCTCAAACTTGGCCTATTTCACTAAGTGTACGTCGAAAAAGAAAAACACAACATATATGTATTTAAGCACAAGACAACACTGAATGGGTCTCCTCAAATTGCCGCAGCAACGCGATGCAACAAGATTACATTTCTTGAAACAAAATATGCAAGAAGCGCCAGGTGTATTTTTCAAAATGCAACATAATACAGAATGTTGCTTTTCAAGAACAGTGCCCAATGCAAAATTTGTTATTTTTTTATTTATATTTTTCCATAATATTAACCTTAGAAGTAAGTTCAAACTTATGGTACCACGATTTCGTTTAACTAAAGTAAACGACTTTTTCATTGGGATCTGTATGTTTTTACAATAAGATTCCGGAGCAATTAAGATTGTCAGTTCCTAAACCTACATTTAAAATGTTTTAATTGAAAAGTCATATTACATAATTGAAGACTACGTGTTTGATAATCTTTATCAAAATGTATGAGAAGACGACATCACTTGAGATTCCACACAAATTTGGTTCAAAGTGTATTCCATAGCATTTAAGTTTATTTGAAAAAGCAATAGAGTTTCTTGCTAGTTCTTCTCAAGGAAGTTAGCACAGTGAAAGAGCAGCTTAAAAAAATCGGTTCTCACTACTCAAAGAATATTGAGAGAAAAACGCCTTGAATTGGAGAAATAGCAAAATCAACCATTAAAATAATTGCTCTTTAAGAAAATTTAGGCGCTATTTATAAAAATGAATCTTCGTGCGTGAACAGCCACTCTTAGAGGTAGATGATTTCGTTCAAAATGAAATAGGACCACTATGGAAGTACCCTCTTACCAACAAAAAAAGAATCATGAAAATCGGTTCACAAATACCGGAGTTATCGCGTAACATACATAAAAAAAACATGCAGTCGAATTGAGAACCTCCTCCTTTTTTGAAGTCGGTTAAAACGTGACATTTTTAACAGTAAATTTATTTTACATAAGGAATAAATAAATGACTATTTGACTTAGACTTCCGCTTTTTTTTCTTTTTTTTATGATAATAAGTAAGGGGACAAGTTTCATGACAAGTGCCAGTAATTTCACCAGCATTCTTACCCTTCAATGTTTTTTGACATAGGTCTCTATTGTAGAAAGCCCTCGAGAAGAGTTATTTTGCGAATAATAAGTTACAAATTGCATGGAATATATTCTGGTGCGTTGCTGCAGCATTTTGAAACGACCGTATGCAAAATAAGTGTTGTAATAAACTAATTTAATAAGTACCTTGTTCTTATTTTGTGTCACTAGCTAAATGGCAGCATGAATAGTGAAAAGTGCACATGTATTAATGATTTGTTAATGTAAGTAATGATTTAAATAAAATGAAGATTGAAAATGGTAATGATGGTATTTTGAAATCATAAATTGACATATTTACAAAAAAAAAAGTCGTTTAAACCCAATACGAAGATCAGTAACAAGCACATTGTTAGTAGCGACATCTGGCGAGCAACACTACTAACACCGCAGCGCGGTAAGCTAGCGTTCTCCAGTTGGTACATCGCAGACTCGCTAGGTGGCGCTACTAATATTGATATTTAGTTTATATGACTCCAACAATATATAAATTGGGAACCATAGCGACAAAATGTTCTTTTTCTTTTATGGCAACTCGCTCAACAAGAACGTCAACAAGAATAAAATCTCAGGTGTTTTAATGAATTTTTGAGCACCCGATCCAGAGAATTTACATATAAAGACAAATTCGTAAGACCTGTTGACCAGACAGAATTGAGCTCCACACCTCGGTCTGTAGCTCAGATCTCTATGATTGATATGGCTTACTTAATATATGTATGCTTTCGGTTCCGTGAGTGAACGAAAAACGCTTTTAATTCCTATAAATACAAGTGGAACATTTTGAGCCACCATCTATTAGCACAATAATGACTTGTGTAGTTGAGAGCTGTCAGTAAAGTACTTCTAGACAACTGTTAGGATATACACAGCGTACAGAACGCAACACTCTTTCGTACACTTATGGCCTTTGTCTTTGCCTACCCCAATGAGAAAAGGTCGTGAAGTATACGTATGGCCATCGAGTATATAACCTGAAATAGGGACGGAATGTCATTTAATTTCTTTGAAAACTTCTGCCAAATCATTAAGGTGACAACTGCGCTGCGATTGGTCAGCCCGAACTCAAAATAATTGACGGATGTCGTCAATAGTTTCACTTCCAATGACCAGTTTAACTTGAGCTTTGCTGTAATTGACGAAATGTGAAAAATTACATATTTAATATATAATTACCGATGAAATGTGATTCCGTTTGTTTTGTAATTCGGTATTTTACTGTTTTTCCCACACCACTGAATGGAATAGCCCCCCATTGTTAGAGATATTATCTTTATTACAGTAAATACAGAATATTTTTAGAATATACGTAGACGTACACACAGGTCAGTAGTTGGCGCTGTACTATTACAGCTTTCTAATTTGTTGATACATAAAAGTGATATAAGGCCCATTTGTCTGATGAGTGGCCAAGGGTGGATGGCACTTATTTTGTCTCTATTTCTGGTTATATACTAGATATGTATGGCTTACCCGTGCCCATCGCAACTTATTCTTCTGCTTATAGCGCCTTGTCCTATCGGAGGTTAGCAACAGCTCTGTACAAAAGCCATCTGGTCTTCTACCTTGCTTTTTGTACGTGAAAGAAACCATAGTAAACTTAGTCATGAATACAATTATTGAAAAACGCACCTTCCGCAGTGCCACAATAAGGATGATGCTGGTGATAAGGACCGCAACTGAACCGATCCAGGAAAACAGCGCAAACACAATCAGCACGTTGCGGACTGAAATAGACGAAAATAAACTAATTCAAATGTAAAAAAAATCAAAGTCACTGTCCCTAAGCTAACAACTCGTAAAGACCAAATTACTGTGTTTACACATGGCGACTTTTAGCAGCGATACAAACGCACGTTTGCATCGCTACACTTGCGATTCATAGGCTCAACTCACACTGGCGCAGGGTCGAAGCGTCGCAGAACTACGGAAACCCTGTGTCGCTGGTGCCTTGAACACACACATAGACAACTACAAATTACATCGAAACTCACGAGAGAAATAAATGTAGGCCATACAAATATTTCTCCCGGCCCGGGAATCGAACCTGGGAACTCTGCTTGGCAGTCTGGCATGGTAACCGTTCGGTCACGGAGGCAGTTCATAAATATAATAATGATAGATATGCTATAGGCGAAAAATCTGACGCGTCGCGACTCTGCGCCAGTGTGAGTTAAGCGATAGGTGATTGCATCGATGCAAACGCGGAACGGCATCGATACTAACGCGCGGCTGCACCGATAAAACGCGCGACTGCATCGATACAAACAGGCAACTGTATAGATACAAACGGACGACTGCATCGATACAAACGCCTGACTGCATGGATACAAACGGGCGACTGCATCGATACATACGGGCGACTGCATCGATACATACGGGCGACTGCATCGATACTAACGCGTGACTGCATCGATGCAATCGCTTATAAATTACAAATGTAGCGAAGCAACCTGACTGCGTGGTTGAACGGTTTCCATGCTGGACTGCCACGCAGAAGTCATGGGTTCGATTCCCAGATCGGGAAAAATATGTGTATGGCCTACATTAAATTATATATAACGTCATCAGAGGCACTGGCCCTCATCAACTTAAAAGTTCCTCGTAAAGTGCCTAGGGTCCCCATTGCCAAATCGTTTGTTTTATCTAGTGGCCGAACTAATCTCGGAAAGTATGTTCCTTTGAACAGACTCATGCAGTCATACAATGACTTGACTGTGACCAGAGACAGTGACATAGATATCTTTAATGTAGGGAACACTAAACAAATTATTTGCATGTGCAAGCAATTATTTCAATCTTAAGTCCTTTTTAATCAATTATTGTTGTAATTTTACATTTTCAATTGTTTATTATTATTATTTTAGATTATTCTTTATATGTCATTGGGTAACTCTAAATATTTAGTGCTGTATACACCTGTAGCGACTTTGCACCTTGTATGGTGAACTTATGTATATTTATTTCTAAAATTGTTTCATTTTAAGTTGATGATGTATCTTTAAATGGACGTAATTAAACAAAAAGGATATAATATACAGAATTATAAAAAAAAATAGTTACATGTACCAAACGGTCCCTAAAGTCCAAACTCTTAGGGTCGTATTCTAGAACTCTACTCAATGCTCAAGTCAGGATTGCACTGGAAACACAAGCACTGGAAATACGACACTAATGGCAGGGACTTGAGTATGATTTCGAGTGCTTTAAACCATACTCAAATCCTGACTTGAGCATTGAGTAGAGTTCTAGAATACGACCCTTAGATTAACAAAAAATCCAACATATGAACATAAATAAAAATCTTGGAGTTACATGACATTGTTTTAAAAATAAAACAAGAGTGAGAAGCACTTTGAAACTTCAAACTGCTATATCTCGAAAGTGAGTGTATGGAGATTGGATCCTTTTTGTTTAACTACGTCCAAATAAATAAATAAATTCTGTCGTGGCTTTGGGTGTTATTTATGGTTGCCTATGTGTGTGTCCATGGCACCCGCGATACAGTGAAAAAACGGTACAATAATCTTGAATTGGCATGAATACCTGGAGCGCTTCCAACGTAAACAAACTGGAAGCTGATGACGTAATATCCGTAATGTACTGAACCTGGAGTGGCCATACCCAGGCAGTACAGATCGAAGATGCTCTGCGCAAATGTGAACAGTGCTATGAACTGAAACAAACAACGATTCAATTTAAATGAGTTTAACCGACTTCAAAAAGGAACAGGAAGGAGGTTCTCAATTCGACTGTGTTTTTTTGTTCCGAGTTACCATGTACTTATTGTAGCGAATCGCAGCAGTCGCTGCAAATATATTCTATATCTTTGTATATATTTCTCGTAATAGTCTGTCATATTTAAATTTCAAATTTAAATGTGATTATTTTTGGCGCCTTTTCTGATTTTTGTTTGCTGTTTTGCTTTAATAGCTACGTGTTTTCTAGTAAATTAATAAATGGTAAGTACGTTTGCTTCGGCCATGCTCACTCGTTGTTAGCAGTCACCCTTTGACCCATTGATACAGTTCGCAACACTTGTCTCATTATGCTAACTGTGAAGGTAAAGGTGGCGCGCGCGAGTCACGACAATGCCGCTGCAACTGCGCTTCTAATTATTGTATGAAAACTAGTAGTGGCGCGCCCTTAGGGCGCGTTCCCATTATGTCGTCTTTTTTTTTGTCTGTCTATCGTGACTGTGTCGTGGACGTTTATTTCATCATTGAACGACTGTCGCGTCTAGCTGTTTCCACTAGATCTTAACGACAATTTATCGGTTTGAAGTTGCGATCATCTGTCGTCATATTTTTATCGTGACGTTTTATTTATCGTTGCACGACTGTCGTACCTAGATCTTCCCATTATCACGAAGATTGTCGTCGTAACGTCAAAAAAGTCATGAACGACAGTTAATCGTGTTGTTCTGTGTGTGAACACTTTATTTCAATATACAAGTCACGACACTTTAAACTGCACGACAATCTGTCGTCACGACACAATGGAAACGCACCCTTAGGGTGCATTCCCACGGCCCGTGATGTCAAACGCGCCGATTTGTACAGTGTCAAGCCCGCGAAACTCCAACGCGAGTACTGGTGCGTATTCAAGTAAGTAAGTATAGTGTAAGTAGTAAGTATATTGAGAATTTACGCCTTAGAGTTAGCCAACAGTGGCGGACCCGAACAGGACAAGGCGTGTGGGAAGCCGTCTTTAGGGTGATTCTTAGTTATTTATTATAGTATCTTAAAGTGGTACTTTGATTACCTCCTATGCCATGTACATTTCCAGCTGTTTGTGAATCTCTTGTCGACAAAATAATAATATCTAACTGGGTGACGAAATATCATAGATGGCGCTACATCTAAAAAGTCGTTGTAAAACCAAATATAAATAAAAGATACGACGCAAGCACATACAAAAATTCAATAATGAAAGATATAAAATTCGTGCGGTCCGCTGGTTCGTTCTGTGGCTTAGTTGGTAGTGTCTGCCACGGTATGCTAGAAGACGTCGGTTCGAATCCGGCCGGATCGAAGGATTTTTTTCTGAGTGTTCGATCTTTTCATTAATAATTATAACAAACTAATGGAGTAATTTCACATAAAAACGATTGAATATCAATTCAATAAAATTAAAAATAATATTTTGTGTTCTTTGTATACATCATCATCTCTGCAGAAGACGGGTCTCCTCTCAGGCGAGTGATTAGAACATAAGGCCAACTCAAGGACTTAACACGTATTTCGAAGGTTGTGTACTTTCTTTGACATACAGGTTTCATCACGACGTTTTCCTTCACTAAAAAGATCATGGTAAATTTCAAATTGTTGCTCGGTTTTGCTAGCCCAGATTCGATTCTCCAACCTCTGCAAGCAGAGGCCTCAAGAGGCAGTAGGTCAAACCACTAAGCTACCACAGTAATGAGTTACTAATAACAACGTTTTTATTTAGATGGCGATTACTACTTTTCATCACAGCAATAGTTTGACCTATTGCAGCTTAATTTTATGTACAAAAAATTGTAAATGATTGTACGAAAGTATTATTTATTTATAATTTAAACATACCACAGAAATAAATCCAATAAGTAAGGATCCTCTCTGCAAATCTAAGACAACAGCATCATGTAATATTGGTTTTTGGTACCACGGTAGACGTAGAGACCGGACGGATTTAGTGGAACGGAGATTCGTAGATGATCTGGAACAAATTTAAGCATTGTTATTTGTATCACTTATACATAGCATTGCGAACTGCAGCAACAGCTACAATTTTTATGAAATTATCTTCTCATTTCATTCTAGTAGCTTTAGAGCTCCTTGTGAAAGAGTTCATCCAGGGAAGCACTGCCACCTTAACTATTTCTGCCACTAAGCAGTAATGTCAGTATTACTGTGTTCCGGTTTTGAAGGATAAGGGTGCTGGTGAAATTACAGGCACATGGGACTTGTAAATTTATGTTCAGGGTGGCGGGCACAGTGGCAGTGGCAACTGTTATGACCAGATGTCTGGCTAAAAGCGACTTTTAGCAGCGATGCAGTCGTACATTTTTATTGTTGCAGTCGATTGTGTACATCAATGGAATTTGCCTATAAATCGCAAGTGTAGCGATTCATTCGCGCATTTGCATCGCTGCTATAGTGTTCCAATCCATTTTGAACAAAAAGTAAACAAACCTGTTTGGTTAAAATTCTAAAGCAATCACTCAATAAATCAAATAAGTAACATTTTCACGTATATTTCGAAGATTTCGACTTGATATATCATCACGTTTTCCAACAATATTCATTTGAATAGCATCGTAAAATCGTATTTGAAAAATGATAGTCCAAAAGTGAGGTTATTATTCATCTCTACTTCTATGACTTGCCTATGGCTGCATAGTGCTGTTCGAAAAAAAAAAAAGTTTAGTAATCGATAATTATATCATATCAAAATATATTGAATTTTAGAAGTTTTGCTCGAATATATAGTTAAAACTATTGGAGACAGACTTTTCATGAATTTCCTGATACTAAAAATCATCAGAAAAAATGTCACTTTTTAATTGTCTTTTTTTATGTCTTATAATGTCTTCATTATGAGAAGAATTATTAAACTGTTACAAAAAGGTGTCCCAATCGTTACAATTTAACACATCAATGTTAAATTCTGAAATTAAAGCAACTGTTACACCTAGTAAACATCGTAAAAACTCGAATCCATGAAAATACAAACATTTGTTCAAAGTACAAACGTTCAGAAGTGTGTCCCACTCATCGCTGTGACTGGTGGGACACACTTTCAAATCTTAATATTTACGTGCACAATGACCAACCAAGCCAAAATAATGACCCTTAGCATAATTGTTACTTTTACAAAAGCAAATGCCAATAGGTTGCATATTTATTGGTTAAAATAAATATATATGTGTTTCATTGTGACGGCTGGGACTTGAAATTAGTATTTATTGCAAACTTTAATAACTCCTCACCATATATAATTCCATGCAATCACTTATCATTGTTTTAAAATTCGTAAATTGTATTTTCTTCAACAGTACGACTTTTTTAGAAAATTTTTGTTAACATTACAGAAAGAGATGCTTCGGTATAGACGACAGCACTATGGCTGCATTAATGAAAACAAAAAAAACAATAATTGTACAATATCCGAAAAATGTCATTTATTTCTAATGATTTGATTTATTGGGTGTATTCTAGTCATACAATTAAAACCAAATCGTGTAACTTATTTTTTTTTCAGTGTCATTTTCGCCGGAATGAAATTTCGCCCTCATTCAATTAATTAATCAATTTGTAGTTGGCTTTACAAATGGCCATCACTAAACCGTCTATGGTCGGGTCAGTGACTTGTTTGTTTACTTTTTGTTCAAAATGGATTGAAACAAAGTTTAAGTCGCCGTATGTAAACTACTCTTACCATCTTACTCATACAAAAAAATACAAAACAGGTCGCAATGGGAGAGTATAATGTACGCCATCTCCAATGTTAGTCGCTAGAGTTGAGAGGATGTGGATTATATTTTTCTGTAGTTAATGGAGCAATAAACGTTTTTGACGTAAATCCACTTATACCATTCTTTAATGAGGGGTGTGATGTGTTATTGTGTTTTAGATTTTTTTAATGTTTAAAAATTAGTTTTTTCGAGAAAACTAAAACTGAAAATCAATGAAACACCCCACTTTTGAAATTTCTTTCCCCTACCTCCAAAAACAACACCAACGCCCATTTCGACGTCAACTATTCTAAAGTTGAGCTCAGTCTCGTTTTTCCTCTCCCACAGTTAGACATGTACTTAATCAAAGTACAATAATAATGACGATAAAAGGCGTTCAATTATCAAGATGTATAATAACTTAATACAATAAATTTCGTGTATTAACTCACTTTCCCGTGTAGTGCGAGTACACTGACGGCGTAGACCGATACGCTGGAGGCTGCTTTCTTCCGTACATGTTAATAAATTCACGATTTTCACTCAAAAATCATCAAAAAATCGTAGGGGAATACACCTCAACAGTAAAAAATACCCGTAGGATTAAATAGTGTAATAAACACTTTATCGGTAAAAAATAATGTTTCACCCTACAAATAGACACCCTAATTGTTGAGAATGTAATGTGTTTTCTGTTATTTATTTATATTTTAACTTATTTTTCATGGTTGTTCAAATGCCACACCTATTGCACTCGTTTGTATAATAAATTGTCAAAAGTTGTTGTAGTACATAACGTTCCTTTTCTCATGTGTAATTACTGTTTAAATAGATAATATTTATTAGATGAAACTATCTTTAACTATAACTTAAAAACACTCAGCATCCTATTTCCATTAGTGCTCTTATTTTTATAATAGGCTAAGTTGTTTTATAATTATGTTTTAGTAGCGTTTTAGATTATAAAATCATAGACTTTCACGAATACTATAATACGTGTAACGTAACGCACAGGAGCAAAACGTCAACGCTACCGTTAGTGACGTGTCACGTCAAAATCAGACCTGGCACAATCGAGAAATGAAAATTCATTTTTTTTTTCATCCTCTAAGAGTCTAAGCACTGTCGTCAAATCAAGCAATCAAAACAATATTTCTGACAATACACATAAAATACCATATTATTTAAAAAATCAATATAAAAACACAAAAATTATGTAAAATTGATAAGTGAATATCCTAAATATACTAAAAATGAGTAAAACGTTGGAAGGTGCGGTGCGCCCACTCCTTTCATCCGCTCAGAAATCTCAAAAATACAAAGATGATGCTTTAAAAAAATTTAGATGTTGTTAGTAGTTTCTTTATTAAATACGTGATACTATCTATTACAAAGTTCATTACGGCGTTTATTACATCTACAAGAGATTTATTAAAAATATGCTATTATTATAGTCACTGAAAAAGCAAGAAACTGAAAAGTAACCTTTACTTTTCAGTTTTTTTTAAGTCTTCTGATTGTAAGCAGCAATCTGATAACGAAGACCTTGTTAATGTATGCCTAAATAAAACTATTTACGTGGTGGGAAATGTATCCATTGATTTATAATATGTATTTTTCTCTATACACTAAATAGAATAAGGGCGTTTTCAAATTATATGCTTCTAGAAGCGCTATAGTGGTGTCACTGAAGCACTGCATCCGCGCCACTATTAGTTTTCATACAATATTTAGAAGTGCATTTGTATCTTACAGTGCTACTGTCGCGACACGCGCGCGCTACTTTACACTTATTGTGACTGCAAAAGTCGTGCTTGTAGAAACAAGCATCTAATTTGTAAGCGCCCTAAGGGTCCATGAAGTGTGATAAGTTTTCAAAAGCAATAAACTGTGACAAGAAAAAGAAAACGGTGGTAATAGAAGTGCTATATAGAATGAGCAATTGTCTATTCCAGCAGTCTGCAGAAAAACACCAGTGCATTCTCGTACCTACTACGGCTTAGTATTCTGCACGGAATGCTTCCACAAGTACATATGGACACCGAACCAAACATTACAGAGCGACTTGAAAACTCTACCAAAATGATGAAAGGTTTACATTGACGCTAGCAGCGCAAAAATGGTACAACTCCATGAAATAATAATATTTCTTTATGTGTTTCCGCCTTTTATTAACATTTTGTGTGATTTTATTCGCTATAATAATAATTGTCCTTTTTCACTTCAGGTGTGACCTCCACAACAGCAGTTCGTTGAAGAGGTTCTTCCAAAAATAAATACTTAGCTGCTGCCTTAACGTGGGCTTTTGATCAATATTAACTGACTGCATTCTTCGACATTGATACTAGCCCAAGCCTAGTGGCCGTCATTAAAGAAATATTAATAAATATAAACTGACTCTGGCGATGATCGCCATAATTATTATATTATTCTTATAAAACTGACACTGGTACAAGGGTTGAGTCCACCATGATCCCCTAGCCCAATCCCCTAGGGGATCTTTGTGAACTCAGCAGTTCATTAGAATCCCCTATGTTATATTTAGGTTATGTAGGTATGTAAAGTTGGAATCATATTGCGGCTTAGTGTCCGCCATAAAGGAAGAAATAATAATAAATATAATAAAACTGTTTATTTCACACTTAGGTCCATATAAGTGTTAGTAAACAAATATAACATTAAAAATCTTGAAGAAATAAAACTAAGTGTTAGTACAATATAGAAATGCAAATGAAAAAAGGAAAAAGAAACAGAATGAAACACATCTATGGTATGTAGTGGAGCCGTTGATGGACAATGCACACACAATCATGAAACGCGAAAAATAAAGACGCGCTAATTTTTTTTCGCTTTCAAATTTTTTTATAATTTTTGATCGAAATGGAAGACGCCAGTCCAATTTTGACAGCTGGCGGCCGTTTTCATTCGCCATTATCGCGCTGCCAACTAAGGGCTCAGGTCGTTTGAAGAATCGGTAAACTACTTCGCTTGACTGACAGGCGACGCAGTTGACTCACCATTTACACCTTAGTCGTCTGCCGAATCGGCAAAGTATTAGCCTTGCTGACGGCGACGCAGTCGACTCGCAGTTTATAACGAGTCATCTACAGAATCGGCAGGCCAAGCAGTCTACTGCGTCGACTGCGTCGAAGGCGCCACAGTCGAGAAAACGACTCGTCGTTTGCAACGAGTCGTTTTCCGCCTTCGCTGAAATTGCATCAGTCCATTGAAGTTGTCAGCATGAATCGTCGCAAGTCGTTTTTAACCAAAAATTCCCGCCATAATAGGTTCGAAAAAAATTCAAGTCTTAATAACAAAAAAAGGTAATAATTACTTATTTATTTTTAATCGACCATTATTTTTTGCCACATTTTCAATTACTATAGGTACTTGTGTGGTGTATAAATTAGAAACGAGTGATTCGCGATGTTGCAAAAAAATACATCAATAATGTTCATCGTAATTGATGTTTTTTTTAACAACAATCATCAAACTATCAATGTATTAGCTATAGATAGGTTAAGAAATGGTGAAATGTAAAAATCCCGCATTATTCCAATCCCCACAAACTCCCCGCAGCTCGAGATAATCCCCATAAGTAGGCAACTTTGCCCAGCACGCACATCATGGTGAGGCGCCGCACAGTGGTGCATTGGCGGAAAAAGTATTTTTTATGAACATTTATCTAAACAAATTTTACGTTATACGTACAACACTATACACTTCATAGATACAAAAAGTGTAAAAACAAATTACTAATAATTCTATACATTACGTAGAAATGCGAGACTAAACACATCCGATGCAGAGATAACCATTTTTGCGCAAAACTTGTGTATTTTCAAGGTTAAATTTAAATAAAATTGAATATAAATTTATGATACTTGTGTTTTTATAATGCTCAGAAATATGCTAGAAATGTAATCTTGTCGGTACGCAGTGAAAGGATTTTATATACGTATTTTTCATTTATGTTTTATAGAATATTATGTAAATTTAAAGCTATATCTTTTTACTGCCGTCGACCGCTGATTCAGATTCAGATTCAGATTCATTTATTTCTCAAATATAACATTACAGTATAAATTGCACTACATGTCAAAGTATAAGAAATTACATTGAGATGTTTACTTATTTCACTTAATCGATTTATTAGTCTGTCCGTCTGTCTGTCTTGATTAGATTATATAAATCTTAGCTGCGACCTTGGATGTGAGAATACATTAACAAACTGCCCTCAAAACCAACAATACATAATATTGAAACAAATATTTTAACCGAAATATTCTCTTATTTGTAATAAAAATTATTATACCGAAATTGTTAATTATAGTCTATTAATAATATATTATTTTATTATCACCAATATATTTATTTCATCCTTAAATACCCTAAAAAAACCAATAGTCTTGTTGTACTATAAAAACATAAAATTATTCGCTGTGCCTTATAAGAGCACCACAAGTTCTTAATTATACTGGTAGCGCGGAAGCTTGCGGAAAAAACCACCGCAACAAACACGAGGAGAGTTCCGGGGTATGGAGACCCTAGAGACCAAGGTCTCTATAGGGTCCGATGGATTTTATTTTTTAGGCGTGTGCCAAGATTTTGTACGAGAAGTATGTGCGAGAGGGTTGCGTGCATGAATATAAAATTAAATGAGAAAGGCGGTAAAATCCCTTCGGTACAATCGGTCTGCTTTCCCATTCGGTCCACTTTCACTATTCATCTACTTTCCCGATCGGTCCACTTGTCCAAATGGTCCATTTTCCCGATTCGTCTATTTTCCCGATCGGTCCACTTTCACTATTCATCTCCTGTCCCGATAGGTGCACTTGTTTTTCCCGATAAGATCATTGTGTGGACTACTCTTATTGATAATTTGGATACCCACATTGGATTCAGATTGCGTGCACAAAAAGCCCTCTGGGACAATTCTATTTTTTCTCGTTGTTACGAGTAAATTAACAGATTTGAATTTCAAGGATATACAATGTCTAATGTTGTTTAACCTGCATTTCCAGATAACGGTGGTACGCTCCGATGTCATTTTGAGATACGGAAATAAAAATGCCGTTTCACTTAAACTCACATTGCCATTGCCGAGAGTGAGATTTTTTTGTTGATTCGTTCCCTCGTTGTCAAATCTATAAATATTGTAATTTGGTCAGTTTAATAGTAATGCCGAGAAATATATTTAGCCACCTTACTAATAAAAGGTAACTGCAAAATACAAAATAAATAAGTCCATTTAATACACTAGTGGAAACACAAAGGATAGTTGTTTCTCGTGATCCCACTGCCTTCTATAGTAATGAAAGTATATAGGCACTTCCTGTAAATGTTAAGTATCTACTTTGGACGACGAACCAACAGTCCGAAAGGATATTTTATCGACATATCTACGTAGACCTTATTTAGAATGGCGGATGTATTTTAACGAATCCTAGTGAGATCTTGACTTGGAAATATAGACAAAAGTCGTGAGTCTAACAGTCTTCAGGTAATTTTTTTTATAACTGTGTTGATCCAAAAGGATATATAAAATTCACACTGTAGTCCCATGAGATTTTAGGTATACCTATGGGAGCAAAGTGACAAGAGAGATTCACACCAATAAATGGTCGAGGTAACTGCTCTACAAACCGATCGATGTAAAGTGGAGAACCATGTGGTGGATTGAGTGAGCACCCTCTGTAATAGTTTAAATATATTAGTCATTTAGTAGAAGTTTTAAAACAATTACAGAAATCAATCTTTCTATTTGTAATACGATAAAACAAAAGAAAGATTAATAATGTGTGCTCACCCAAAAACAGTAGTGAGACCCAGTGGTCCAGGAGAATGGAGCCATAACTATCCATCCCTCTATTACCATTAGTTCTGTTGTACAGTTCTGTTGACAGGACGAAATTGGTATTATCTTATCATTTGTTTCGTTAACAGAACAAATGGGAAGGATTTACGATTCCAAGTAGTTCTGTTGGTTTTGTCCGATTATTCTGCCGCTAGTTCTGTTATACAGTTCTGTTGCGTTTCGTCCACCAGAATCCCCTAGCCCTATCCCCCAGGGGAAGTAGGCAGGCAGTGGTATTTTCATTTTCGAGTGTTTCTCGTTGTTCAGATTGATCGTCAGACATTTGTTCTGTTAACAGAATATCGCAAGTTTTAGTTTTTTGGACCACAGCCGTACCTCCGTTTGTTTTTTGGACCACAGCCGTACCTCCTATGGACGTTTTGCGTCCAACAGACATTACTTATTTTCTAACTAAAGTTCAACCAGTTGAACTTAGTGGTAGTTGAACAGAGGATATCTTTGAACCAGTGATTCAGCCACCTTGCCTCAGTTTAAGGAAAAGACAAATCAATGACACCACATTTTATTCAAATTATAGTCATCACACGTTTGAAAATAATCACAATTTACAAGAATAGATCCACATTGCCACAAACACTTAGGACAAACTAAGTCATTATCATTTTTCAATACTTTGGGGTTTTGTAAATCAACCCATCCAAAAAACGACGACTCCCATTCGGATGCCATCGAACGTTTATCGTAATCGATAAAGTTTTTCCATTTTTTGGGACATTTTTCAGAGTCTGCATTTTCGTGTAGGTATTTTGTCAGCTTTTCGATTTTTTCGGCTGCAGCCACAAGCAAATTTTCTTGATTTGCTGATTCGTTGGACTCTGGGATATCAGAAATTTCGGTGCGGGTCTCAAACGACAGGTCGAAAGTACCGATGGACTCCTCGCCTGTGGAGGATTTGGCCGGCATCGGGGTCGCAGCTGTGAAAATTTTTCAAACTCTTACGCACCTATAGGAAAAACAGAAAATTTAATCTTAACTGTCGATAGACAAAATTTGGGAAGTGGGAAGACATTGGGGGATAAAAGTTTTATAGTTGTGGATAAGTTAAAATGAGCTATCTGTAAAAAAACTGCTAGTGGCCGTAAATCGTAAATTATTTACATTTCTTCGTTTCGTTCGCGTTCGTCTGGAACCACTCCGGTTTTGGGGGTTTCGGGTGTGGGTTCGTGCCGCATCCGCAAGACGGCAGGTGCGCACCCTGCTGCCCCTGCTGCATCATGAAGATGAACGGAGCCCGCTCGCTCCCAGCCAAGAAATCTTTCATGTGCTCCGCAAACTGCGCGTTGTTCTGCCACTGGAACGAGTTACAAATCATAGCCTAAGGGTGGCGTGACTAATCTCCGCTCAAACAAATTAAAGGGTGACTGAAGACTAATCTTCGACCGCTTTAACCAAAGAACAATGCGCCTAAAGTTTTACTCAATTGCAAGGTGGTGAATCCAAAGTGCTAGTGTTACTCAACGGGCCAAAAGATTGGTTCTTGTGGATTAGTCTTATAGGGTTAGACAAGGCCTAGTAATTTCGTCAATGAGATTAACCTGATCGAAGCAGTTCCGGAAGAACTCACTCGGGTTGTCGCGATTGCGGTTCAGCACATGCCGGTGAAAGCAATCCTCACAGAACACCTGGCCGTAGTAAATCTTCACGTTGTCTTTGGGGACGCAGTGGCAAAAATCTGAATATTGAAAGATTAGAAGCTAGAAACCTTATATTAGGTGGCAGATAGTGAAGAAAATAAAATTGATACAAACTGGAAAGTAGTTCACAATGTCCTAATCATCTTTATAAATTATTCACATACTCGAGTTTCTAAACTAGGACAAATTCACAGCGAGGTGTACGCAACCGGCATCGACAGTTCTGGATCTTGACACTCTTCGATAAGAGGATAATCTTGATTGCAGCGAAGTGACGCGGGTGTCAATGTGAACTGGTCATTGTGCGATTTGTTGAATCAACCTAGTTTTATAAGGTCCCAATTCAAAAAGCAAATAGCTTTAAAAGACTTCAACATACAGCATCGAGCGCACTGCGGGTGGAAACTTTGGCCACCAATGTCAACCTTATGCGCCTCGTCCACCGCTTGTAGACAACGCGCACAGATGCATTTCTTCGCTGGATCGCTCTTTTCTGGAAATGTGAATACAATAATTTGTATATTATAACCACACAACACGAATACACTAAGTACTATATAAGTATGTGTCCGCGAAGCTATGTCGGCAGATTGTCCGCGAAGCTATGTCGGCAGAGTGTCCGCAAAGCTATGTCGGCAGAGTGTCCGCAAAGCTATGTCGGTAGAGTGTCCGCAAAGCTATATAGGCAGAGTGTCCGCGAAGCTATGCCGGCAGTGTCCGCGAAGCTATGTCGGCAGAGTGTCCGCGAAGCTATGTCGGCAGAGTGTCCGC